CCCTCTGCAGCGAAGTAGCATCCTGCTCATCGTTACTCATTACTTTACAGAGTTTTGTGAAATCTGCAAACACTAAAACATGACTTTAAATGCCTATTTCAAGATCATGCGTGCTCATCACAAATGTTTAAATAATTCAGTGAGATCTCTATGAAGTCTCTCAAGCAGTCTGTGGAAATTATCTATAGAAATTAATCTAAAACGATAACAAGACTATCTTACTTTGCAATGTTTCTGAATCTTCAGAATTAGACAGTAATCTGTAATTGCACCACTTCCAGGGCCGGACTGGGACCTAAAATCAGCCCTGGAAAAAAATTCTATACCAGCCCAATAATGCGTCGCGCCAGCATAGTGTGCTGATAAAGAGGGTGAAAAAATAACTTGAAATTGAAAACTCTTACTCCAACGAAGGAACGCATATAGGGCTTCAAAATAAACAAAAGAGCGCCTTTATTTTAAGTAGACGTACATTTGCATGTAATGTTTCAGTACAACTACTTTGGCCTATTAAGGACATTTTAGTAATGGTACTGAAATGCTGAATGTCTGCAGTTGCACAACTAAAAAATGAAGTGATCTTGTTTATTTTGAAGTTCTATGGGTGCGCTCTTCACTTTGAATATGTTATTGTGCATGAGTATGCAACTAGCAACAAGACAGGGCCAATACGTGCTCATTATATATATATATATATATATATATATATATATATATATATATATATATATAATGACATATTTAATGACATTTATGTGTGTATTATGCATAAATAAATGTATATTACTATATGTGTAAATATTATAGGCATAATTATATGTTACTAATACACACATAAATATACATGCATATATATATAAATCCAATATATCCTTGCACTCACGCTTTCTGGCTGTTGTTGGCCGGGTGCTTGAAATCCAGGGAAAAATGTATATTTGTAGATAGTGATCAGCACACTCGGACTTTGAAGATTAAAACTTACTGTTTATTAAATATCCATTAAAAGATCAACGTTTCAGTTCCATCTGGAACTTTCATCAGGATCAGGCATACAATATCACATAAAAAAGTGCATTTATATACATAAAGTGTAAGTGAAATTAACAGAAAATGACTTACCCCTGTGCTTAGAATGGTGGGAGTGATACCCCTGGCGTCCACTATCGTTCCGTGCGCATGCGCGGACGAGGCCACGCCCCTACGTAACGTGATGACGTCGCGCGTTGCCGCGGCAACGTTGAAACCACGTGGGGTATAAACAAGGAAGTGACTAATGAATGAACTACGTGTATATCCGGTTGCCGTAGCAACCCGGCTCTATATCCAGTGATATTAAAAAATACAAGCCCCACTTAATTCAAATAAAACACACCTACAATTGAGATGTTAAATGGAAGGTAGAGTGTACAAAGATATATAATAGTACATTTATTTGCTAAAAGTGCACTGTGAAATATAGATGCTTAATCTATTCAATAATAATAATATTAGGGTGGCACTTAAAAAAGCCTAATTTGCCTAAAGTGCCTATGTGGACGTTTTAAAGTGCTGTGAAATAAACCAGTATGTAAAAAATTATACTGAAGTATACTGAATATATATATATATATATATATATATATATGTGTATTACTGTCAGGATCACATCAATTTACGTCTATTACCTTTACCTCGTTTAGTGTATCTTGTCTCCAATTGTCTCTTTTTTTTTCTCTTACAGCGACCCTTGTGCATCTTTTACTTCATCCCAGTCCCTGTGTGTTTATTTTTACCCTTCTCCAGCCTCTGTATTTCTCTTTCCCCCAGCCCCTTTTGTGTTGTTCTTAGCCCCAGCCACTTTGTCTCTTTCTCCCCTTCCAAATCTCATCTGTGTGTCTCTTTCTAACTCCAGACTCTGTGTGCCTCTTTCTCTTCTCCCAGTCACTCTCTGTCTCTTTTTCCCCAGCCCAGCGTTGCCTCCCACAAATCTTGTGTCACTTTGTTCCCCTTCCCTACTGCATGTCTCTTTGTCCCCCCAACAAACCTTCCGTGTGTCTCTCTTCCCCAACTCCTCCCTGTGTCTCTCTTCCCCATCTCCTTCCTGTGTCTCTCTCTTACCCCTCTGTCTCTGTGTCCCCCCTTCTCCTGTGTCTCTCTATTACCCCTCTCTTTGTCCCCCCAACCTCCTATTACCCCTCTGTCTCGTTGTCCCCCCCTTCCCTGGTGTCTCTCTATTACCCCTCTATTTGTCCCCCCATTCCCCTCTATTTGTCTCCCTCCATTCCCCTCTATTTTTCCCCCCATTCCCCTCTATTTGTCCACCCATTCCCTCTATTTGTCTCCCCCTTCCCCTCTATTTGTCTCCCCTTCCGTCTATTTGTCCCCCCATTTCCCTCATTTGTCCCCATTCCCTCTATTTGTCTCCCTTCCCTCTATTTGCCCCCCCATTCCCTCTATTTGTCCCCATTCCTCTATTTGTCCCCATTCCTCTTTGTCTCCCCTTCCCCTCTATTTCCCCCCCATTTCCCTCTATTTCCCCCATTCCCCTCTATTTGTCTCCCCATTCCCTCTGCTTGTCCCCCTTCCTCTATTTGTCTCCCCCCACCCTCCTGTTGTCCCCATTCCCTCCTTCCCCATTCCCTCTGTTGTCCCCCCAATCCCCTCTATTTGTCCCCATTCCCTCTTTGTCTCCTCTTCCCTCTATTTGTCTCCCCTTCCCCTCATTTGTCTCCCCTTCCCTCTGTTGTCCCCATTCCTGTTGTCTCCCCCATTCCCTCTGTTTTGCCCCCTTCCCTCTGTTGTCTTGCATTTCCCCTCTTTGTCTCCTTCCCTCTATTTGTCTCCCCTTCCCTCTGTTTGTCCCCATTCCTCTATTTGTCTCCCCATTCCCTCTTTGTCTCCCCTTCCCTCCTGTTGTCCCCTTCCTGTTGTGTCTCCCCTTCCTCTATTCCTCCCATTCCTCTGTTGTCCCCATTTCCTCTGTTGTCCCCCATTTCCTTCTGTTGTCTCCCCCCATTCCTCTATTTGCGCCTCCATTCCCCTCTTTGTCTCCCTCTTCCCTCTGTTGTCTCCCCATTTCCTTCTTTGTCTCCTCCTTTCCCTCTTTTTTGTCTCCTTGTCTCCCCCCCTTCCCCTTCTGTGTGCCTGCTTACGTTGTTACAGGAGGACTGAGGAAGGAGGCGGAGCTAACTACCATGCTCCCTCGCGGTTCCCATAATTCCCAGCATGGACATATCATAGAGTAATCACTACTCTATGATGTGTCCATGCTGGGAATTCTGGGAACCGCAAGGGAGCATGGTAGCTAGCTCCGCCCCCTCCCTCAGTCCTCCTGTGCTGACAGCTGCACGGCTGTCAGTATCAGTGAGTGTGCCGCCGGATTGCTTAGGCGGCCACCCGGCACACTCACTGATACTGACAGCTGTCAGCACAGGAGATGGGGCCGCCGGCCGCAAGGTGAGTATTCACCTCAGAGTGTGCCGCCGGACCGGCCACCCGGCGGCACCGACATGCAGCCGGTGGTCGCGATATTATTAAAATATTAGGGCGCAGGGCTCCCTCTCTCTCTCCGGCCCCCCAGGTGCCGCGGCCCACCGGGAAATTTCCCGGTATCCCGGTGGGCCAGTCCGGCCCTGACCACTACCCGGACCAGATTTCCCATTAGGCAGCGTAGACACCTGCCTACACGTACATGCCTGATGAGGGAAGCTACTTTGCCTTTTAAAATGTCCCCCTTCTATCTCCTGCTCAGTGTTTGCTGTCTGGAATAGTCATTATTTCATACTGCAAATGCTGAGCACACGACATCGGAGACCTAAGGCAATGACTTAATGCCCCTCTTTATACCTTACCGGCTTTGGAAGCTGCTGATTGACATTGTACATTGTTGCCTAGTTTGTTGAATATTACGATTCCCAAACCCTTCTCATGTGTTATTGTGCATACTTTTGCTTATATCTATATATAATCTTTTGCGGTTCTAACATCACTGCAGATTTGTGATATCTGTGCGAGAAGCAAGTCTTATGTCTTAACTGGTGTGCAGATTTTTGTTTAGCATTGTATTAACTATCCACAGACTTCAGGTGGAAGGGGTTTTCAATCAGAATGTTTTGCCCACCATAACCTATCTGGATTTTGCTTCCCAAGTACTACTAAGCCTCAATAAGCAAACCAGTAACAAGCCTCATGCTTATGACTTGCATTAACAATGAAACAGCTGTCCATGAGTGGTTTACTGGCTTTGCATCTTTTCCTAAGTTGTGTTTCAAAGCTGTTGTATACAGCAAACACAGAACCAAAGGAATCCATGTTTAAAATGGAATGAGGCAAAAATGCGATTCTTTGTTAAACTAATTTGCATATGCCCACCCAGAATCCTTTGCGTCACTGCAGATTTGTGATTTCTGTGGGAAAAGCAAGTCTTATGGCTTGACTGGTGTGCAGATTTTTGTTTAACATTGTATTAACTATCCTTAAAATGAATCTGATATTTGAGTGCCCAGTACCCTAATCTCTCTAAATCCTTCCACAGTGAAGTAATTCTGATAAATAATTCATAGATTATATGGAAAATGTTGCTCAAATTCCCTTTGAGAAAGATTTAAATTATATATTTGACTTTAATTCTGATATTACAATATGCAAATAATCTTTATGTGGCATGTGTATTATTGTTATTATTTATATAGCGCCAACAAATTCTGCAGCAATTTACAGTGGGTGGATGAACACACATGTAGTTGTAACCAGACAAGTGGGACACACAGGGACAGAGGGGTTGAGGGCCCTGGTCAATGAGCTTACATGCTAGAGGAAGTGGGGTAAAGTGGCACAAAAGGTTAGGATAGTATTAGACTAATGACAATTGCAAGAGAGGAATCAGTCCGGAGCTATTAACAGTTTAATTGATACGCTGGGTTTTTAATGTTTTTTTTTGAAGGAGTGGAGACTGGGTGAGCATCTAACAGAGGAGGTAAGTGATTTCCACAGGAACGGTGTAGCCCTCGAAGTCTTGAAGGCAAGCATCAGAGGTGGAAGTACAAACAGAAGATAGACATAATTCTTCAGCAGGGCGTAAAGGCCTAGACGGGACTTGTGTATTAGGGAGGATAGATAGGTGGGAGCAGCATTATGTAGAGATTTGAAAGCAAGGAACAGAATTTTAAATTGAGCCCTATATCTTACAGGAAGCAAATGTAGGGAGTGACAGAAGGGTGAGGCGCAGGAGGACAGGAAGATGAGCCTCGCTGCCCGCTGGCACATAAGACCACTTAGAAGCCGATTACAGTAGCCAAGGCGAGAAAGGACAGTGGAATGGACCAGCACCTTAGTCTCATCTGGTGTTAAGTAGGGTCGGATGTGCGCAATGTTTTTGAGATGGAAGTGGCAGGATTTGGCGATGGACTGAACATGAGGCGTAAAGGAGAGGTCGGAGTCAAAGAGAACACCTAGGCAGCAAGCCTGCATGGTGTAGCTGATGGTAGCACCATTAACTTGGAGACAGACAGACACAGGAGTAGCAACACTTGAGGGAGGAGAGACCAGAATTTCAATTTTTGTCAAGTTGAGTTTAAGGAAGTGGGCAGCCATCCAGTTAGAAATAGCAGAGAGGTAGTCAGAGACACTAGTCAAAAGGGATGGGGAGAGATCAGGAGAGGACAGATAGATTTGTGTGTTGTCCGCATAGAAATTATATTGGAAGCCAAAGGAGCTAATGAGTTTACCAAGGGAGGCAGTATAGAAAGAGAGCAGAAGGGGACCAAGGACTGAACCTTGGGGGACACCAACATAGAGGAGTAGGGGAGAAGAAGCAGAGCCAGAGAAGGAAACAGTGAAAGAGTGCTGGGAGAGGTAGGAGGAGCACCAGGAGAGAGCAATATCTTGTAGATGATATTGCGGAGGATGAAAAAGCTGTTGATGATCAATAGTGTCAAAAGCCAGGGGCGGAACCGACCGGGAGACAAGCTGGATGCCTGCTAGCTGAGCTCTGGCAGTAACTCAGGGCAATCCACGATCATCAGGCTAAAATCCCAAAATGGGACACCCAAAAAAAGCGGCGGAGAATGCCCATCACCCAAGCAAGCCGTCGGGACCGAAATCCGGCATCCTGTTTAAATTTTTCTGAGACGGAGCAAGTCAGCATAATGAGGGAGTAGGCCCCAAGATGGCGCCGGAACCCTCACCGGAATCGATTTCACCTCCGCCTAGCCCAGCCACCTTGGAAAGTTCATCCATAGCACCAGACCAAGAATTAAGGGAGATCCTAAGAAACCTCCCCTCAAAACAAGACCTGGCAGGGATGCTGCATAAATTGGAAGTCACATTTCAAAAAAAGATGGACGACATAACCACGGACGTCAAATACATGGGAGATAGGGTCAGTGCTCTGGAGGACAACCATGACCACATGCTAACCCAGATCCAACTGCTATAGAACTCGATAGAAGCTCAAATGGCCTGCATGTATAGAGCTATCGACGACCTGGAGGGCGCCGCAATAACCTGCGGATAAAAGGCCTCCCTGAAACTGAAGGAGAACACTTACCAAGTATTCTACAGGAACTCTTTAACTGCTTGTCCCGCAAGGAAGAAACCGAGCCCATTTTCTTTGACAGGGCCCACAGGGCACTCAAAGCAAGAAGCTCTGCAGCAGACACCCCCAGGGACGTAATCTCCCGCCTACACTACTACAATGTAAAAGAGGAAATACTAAGAGAACTGCGCCAGACCACTCAACCCCTCCTGTTCAAAGGAGCACAGATACAAATCTATTCAGACCTCTTGTGGAAGACGCTGCAGACCAGGAGGGTAATGAAACCACTCACGGATCTCCTCCATGCCAGAAACGTCAGGTACCGATGGGGATTCCCACTCTCTCTCACAGCCACACACAACAGAGTTACCGCAACCCTTTCATCAGCCAGCGATGTGACGACCTTCACCTCAGCCCTACACCTTCCGGACGTCCACCTACCTGATTGGTATGGCCTGGTCCAAGCTTCGCCAAACCAGCCTCGTCCATAAAAAGCTAGATGGAAACGCCATCAAAGAGGTGCCGGAATGACACGCCGCTACAGACAGGAGGTACCCCCTCACAACCGCCTGGTCACTCTAATGAGACTGCACTTAACAGCACTTGATCGGAAGAGGACTCTCCCCTGGAGGGACTAATACCATGTATAAGGCAAGTGACTTGAGCCGCGAGGTTCCACCAACCCTCACCCAATCCAAGCAAACACCCCAAACCCGATTCGAACTCAGACATTACCTATTTGTCACCTATACCGAGGTTGCACTAAAGCGAGTGAAGCTCCCCTACCCCCTCATTGTATCCCCAGGGCCACACAGCTCACATGGGGAAAGCCACTCTCTGACGAGGCCAATCTACACTACCCATAAAACGACTCTAAATTGCTCACTCAGCCGGTGATCAAGAGAAATTGTAAATAGTTTATTTATTTTAAAGTTACTTCTACCTTTATTTGTACACAGCATTTACACACAGACAACTCTCAAAGTATTTAAATGGCTAACATTAACGTGATTACCCTTAACGTCAGGGGCTTAAACTTCCCAACTAAGAGATCCCTGACTCTTAATGAGTTACATAAATTAAGGGCAGATGTAGCATTCGTGCAAGAAACCAACTTCAAAGCAGATGGGGCCCCCAATCTATGTAACAAGCACTACCCCATCGAATACTTTAGTAATTACCGTATGCAGAAACTAAAGCCAGAGAAGTAGCCATCCTCATAAGTGCCAAAACGCCATTCACACACACTGATCATTACACAGACACTAACGGAAGACTGGTCATGGTTAAGGGGCATCTAGGTAGCACTATGATGACTTTTGCCAATCTCTACCTCCCTAACACCAAACAATGCCCACACCTACGCAAATATCTAACTAAAATAGAGAGTTTCACAGAAGGCATACTCATTGTGGGAGGGGACTTTAATATCTCAGTGGACTCAGACATGGACACAACCTCCCAGGCAACACACTACAACTCAGCCACTCGGTTCAGAATGACCCAGTTGTTAGATAAGGCCCTCCTCTTTGATTGCTGGAGAACGACACACCCTAAAGCACGCGACTACTCATACTACTCTACAGTCAAACACACCTACTCGAGATTAGATATGTTCTTCCTCCAACACAGACACCTCCACCTCATCCAATCCTGGGACTATGGCCCCATCACGTGGTTGGACCACAGCCCCGTATCCGTGACCATAGTGTCCCAACACTAACTCCCACGAGAACCCAATGGAAACTCAATGACACCCTGCTCAACAACCCCGCCAAAATGACACTCCTACAAGATACCCTGCGCCAATACTTTGCAGAAAATTCCACAATATTCAGTTCCCCCACAATGATTTGGGAAGCCAATAAGGCAGTACTGAGAGGCCACATTATAGCATTAGCATCCAAACAGAAAAGAAAAAGAGAGGAGCATGGAAACCACACTCACAAACAACATACAGAAATTGGAAGACATGCATAAACAAAACACCTCCCTATACATATACAAACAACTAGTGGATAAACACTCCACCTTCCAATCTATTCTAAATGTCAAGTTTAAAAAGACTTTCCTTCGGTCCAAACACAAATACTTCACCCAAGGGGGGAAATGCGGGTGTCTACTAGAAAGAGCATTACAAAAGAGCAGACAACAAACATTCATAACCCAGATTAAAAAACCTTCTGGTGAGATTACCCATCTCCTACCAGACATCCTTGCGGAATTCCACACTTACTACACTAATCTCTATAATTTGAGGCAAAGCCCACCTCCCACAGAGGCAATCAATACATTTCTGACCAACCGACTAACCAGACCATCCCCCCCTAACGCCAGGCAAGTTTTTGATTCACCAATATCAGTAGAGGAATTTACATTGGCCACAACCATTTGTGACTGTCTTCAACTCACTCACAAAAGGCTACACTCTACCAAATGAAGCTCTAGAGGTTCATGTAACATTGATACCCAAACCTGGAAAGGACCACACAGAGTGTGGAAGTTACCGCCCAATCTCGTTAATTAATGTAGACTTAAATTTTTTTACAAAAATCCTGGCTACTTGCCTCAGACCACTACTGCAGGGACTGATCCACCCAGACCAGGCCGGGTTTGTGCCTGGTAGAGAAGCCAAAAACAACACGACCAAACTACTTAACCTCATACATCTCTCGAGCGGGATGCCGGCTCAAACTCTTATACTCACAATTAACGCTGAGAAGGCATTCGATAAGGTGGATTGGTCCCTGCTAAAAGAAACAGTGTGAGCTATGGGCTTTGGCCAAAATTGGCTGTCATGGCTCTCAGCCATCTACTCAACCCTGGGGGAAAAAATCAGGGTAAATGGCCAACTCTCAGACACAGTCCACATAGCCAATGGTACGAGGCAGGGCTGTCCTCTTTCCCCTCTCCTTTTCATATTAACAATGGAACCCTTCTGTCACGGCAAGGGTGTATAATTTATTATGACACTATGGAATATTATCTTTTAATGTGATTTCTTGTAGTAAATGGCACAAATTACAGAGATGCTATTGCTGAGGTCAACAGTGGTTACATCTTTTGAAGCTGGGACCCCCCCACAGAGGGCAGATGACAAAAGGGGTAGTGTGAATGGCATAGGGATGTGAAAAGGATTTTACTGTATGGATGTGAAGTCTGCAAGGTGTGAGGTTCTACACTTGGAAAAAGTCTGAATGTCTCTGAATCCATTTGGCCTGTATTTTGTAAGTGATGAGTAAATCTCTTTGATATGTAAATGCCATTAGCTTTGTTCTAGTATCATATCCAAAGGAAGGACAAAAACATTCATATTTACCCCCACAGAATAATAATTAAGCCTCATTTTCGTTATATTTGGAATGTGACAAGCGCCATCTTCTAACCAAGTCCAAACATGAGTGGCCTAACTTGACCCTAGGGAAAGGAATTGTGATGTCCGTCCTATTGGATCGTGGGTGGGACGTTCAACATGTCTATGGAATGGGAAAATAATAACAAATTTGTAGATGCAATTATTATTTCTGTGGCAGGTACAAAAAAGAAGATAGAGTCAAATGTTTCCATTTGGATTGACAGTGGTCTGGAACAAAGGAGGTGGTCAGTTATTATTTCTGTAGGTATGCCTTAACTCCACCCCTGGGCAAGACTTGATAAACCACAGGGTATATATCTAATGATCCTGAAGGGTG